GCGTTATGCAAATCTTCCCACATAGTGATGTAGACATGTGGGGGCGTGTTAGAACGAGCCGTTTTAGGTAGACGTGGCTGACTCTGAACTTTTATAAAGAATATCTCTTTGGATTTGAGACTTTAGTCTTTGCAACTTTACAGATCTTCTTTATGCACCAAGAGCTTGTAACACTCCAAAGAGAAAGGAACACTTGAAATCGCATCATATGACCCCTTTAAATAATGATTAAATTAAAATGTGTTGTACCAAAAGTTAAATAAATGTACTGTACTTAAATGTAAAAAAAACTTTACTCAAATAAAGATTAAATTAAAATGTATTAACATTAATTTATATTTAATTTAGTGATTCCTCTGCGTACCCCACTTGTGCTACTCGTACCACACTTTGAGAACCACTGCTTTAAACAATCTTAATTCATTAAATTGTACAGACATTTGCGATTATATGATATTCAGAAAACACAAAGAGAGTATGTTATCTTTGAGACTATTATACAATTAAAACAAATATAACACACCTAATGCATGGCATTCACATCAGGAAAATGTGGAAAAATCTCTAAAAGACAGACATGAACACAATTTACCAGCAACACAACATTAGATGAGCATCTAACTTTAGCATCTGTGATAAAGCAATACAAAAATACACACACACACAGGTATTTCTCTTCTGCAGGTTACATGTCCTTTACCCATTTGTAAACTCTGGTAACATTATACTTTACTATTTTTGAAAGGTAATAAAGATAGCGATTTTCTTACCTGATTTTGCCTGTGTGTTTGCAGGACCTCGCAGATCACATCTGACCCTTCTTGTGTTCACATTCCAGTTTTTGTTCTCCATTGTCACAACTCAAATTCGCTCAAAATAAAATATTTAACAGGCAAATATAAAATAATTCGGGACCGAACGAGCAGTTTCAACGAGCAGCAGCTCACAGTCAGCTGCCTCACTCAGAAAGACGATAATAAAGGTCATATTTTCACATTTAGTTGATTCAACATACAGATCTTGTAAAAAAAATCTACGTTGATTTACAAGTGTTTTTGTTAATCTTTTTCAACCATTTAGCATTAAACATTTTTCAATGTTGTTTCAACGTTAAAACAACAACAGTCACTATTTCAACCATATTTCAACGTTGAAGGTAGGTCATGTGCCGGCTGGGAATATTTAAAAAAATAATCCTCTGTGGTAAGGATAATATCCGTGATCACGGACTTATGAAGTGCATCTTTTAATGCACTTCAATATGCTGACGAGGAATGGTATTTTGTTTCTGTGTGTATGTACACAGCGGAATGACAATAAAATGAAACTTGAAACTTGAAGTTTTTGGTTTACCTTCAGCAGAATGGCCTCAGAGGATCTGAACAGCTGTTGTGTTTCAAGAGCTCGTTCTCTGATCAGATGCTCCAGCTCTGGGAAACTTCCCAGATGCAGGTAAGACAGATGATAGAAAAGATCCGCTCGCTCTGCAGACGGAAGAAGGTTCTGAGTGAACTCCAGACTCCATGTGGAATCACTGATGACAAGCTCTGAAACACCAAACCAAACTTTACTGATGGCTAACAACCATCTGAGTTCAAGTGGGTGAAGTGGGGTTGTGATATGGGTGTATGGTTGGTTATGTATACCAGCCTGTTGAGTCTCGATTCCTCTCACGGTTTCTTGCTCATCTTCTTCTTTAACTGCTTTACCTGTGCATGAATGTGCTTTTTCTTTCAGTACTTAAAACATTTTTACTTTACCTCCCCTGTTTGTCACATGAAATGTATGCACAGAACTGCTATTTTAGGTTAAATGAATGAGTTTGAAATGGAAAATGTCTCACCTTTGCAGTCAGCCATGTCTTTTTAAAAATGAGTGTATGCTACAAGCCTCCAGCTGCAAAGTCTCTTAAAACAAATATGACAGAAGATGTGATACAAGTAGAATCAGACACTAATAAAACATGTGTATAACTAAAGAGGTGTGTGAGATTCAAAGGTTTCTTATACAGCTTCCCTTTTTGTTTTCCTCCGTCATCACTTTGCCTTCCTTTATATACAGTCACAATTTTAAAAAGTGTGTGTGTGTGTGTGTGTGTGTTAGGGCTGGGCGATATGAGCTAAAATTCATATCACGATATTTTACACTGTCCAGGCAATATCAATATTATATTGCGATATGAGAAAAAAAAATTACAGGCAAAATATTTTAAAATTATATAACTAGAAAAAGTGAGGGATTGGACATAAACCTGAAAACTCTTTTTTTATTGTGCCATTGTTTTTCCACTGTTTGTGTTTTGAGTAGGCCAGTGGTTCCCAAACTTTTTCTGCCGGGAAAGTGTTTTTGGAAAGTCTCTTACGCTCACCAAGGCTACATTTATTTATTAAAAATACTGTAAACACTGTAATATTGTCAATTTAAATGGTCTTTTTTAATGTTTTAACAAATAGGCTAATGTATTTCTGTGATGCGCAGCTGTATTTTCAGCATCATTCCTCCAGTCTTCAGTGTCACATGATCTTCAGAAATCAGTATAATATGCTGCTCTGCTGCTCGAGAAACATTTCTGATTATTATCAATGTTGAAAACAGTTGTGCTGTGTAATATTTTTGAGGAAACAATTTTTCACGATTCTCTTATAAATATTTGAAATGGTCCTTTGTGTCAGAGCGCTGGAGTTCGTCAGAAATAGAACGGGGCATCAGTTTACTGTCATGGATTTGTCTTGTCGCATCGCGCCGCGTCCACAGCAGAGAACATCACTGGGTTCTATTAGCTTTTGTCATGTCGCGCCGCTTGCGTCTGGTGTAGACACGTTGTTTTGGTATTTGTGAATCTTAAGTATATTCATAATATGCTTTACGTTTACCTGGCACTGGAAGTCCTTTCACAAACTTGTAACTTACATGCTTAGAGCAGAACCATGCATCCTTCATTTATATTTCTACATGACTCACTGCAATACAACTCTGATTCTTCAATCATCTAGTGGTCTTTTACTGATACAACCACAACTGCTACAACTGATAACGGAGCACTAAAGCGGGTACTGCGAGTCATGTTAAGGTCATTAAAATATGTCAAATTAATATTTTGTGCTCAATTATTTAATTACGCAGTGTAGTCTTTATCACCCTGCAGAGGTTTCTTTTGCAAAATAATCTGCTGACTGTACACTATCCCTCAGCCTTGCCGCGCCTCCCAGTCTGGGAACCACTGGAGTAGGCGTTTTGTGCTCTATTAATTTGGTCTGTTACGATGCTCTATGTGCAGGGGTGCACATAATTTTTTTTGGCCTCAATAGAGCACCTGGAGATTTGGTTTGGTCCTCACACTGCACATAGTGTGACCCATTAAATATAACTATAAAAAATAATAATAGTGATAATAATATTATTGCACTTTATTTTATTAATAAAATAAACAAAATAATAAAGTGTGATAGTACTATTGTGTTTTAAAATAAAAAGGGAGTGTTAAATACAAAATATCATTATTTTATAGTAAACTCCACCCGCCTCTCTCACTATACAGAGCATGTAGCCTATAGAACTGCAGTAAAATCCCAGGACACCCCTAGTTCCAGCGTCCACTGCTATTTATCACTCTGCATTGTCTGGCATGAATATTCCATTCATTCATAAAGAGACAGCAGCGATTCTACAACGGGTTACATCTGAGAGATATTGAGTTAGAAAATAGAGTAAATGAAGTAGCCTCTAAGGTGATTAGTCTGATTAACATGACACACAAACACACACACATATATGAAAACTCAAAGAATTCTGTTGTTTCAGGTTTCTAGATTCTAGGTTTATGTTTATCATTGTCATATACATTTTGCATTCTGCTCTTTTTATGTAGATTTCAAGTATTTTAGTTCATACAATAATGCATTTATTTCCATCCTCTGTTGAAAAAAAAAATAGAAAGCATCACATAATTTGTAATGGTTTTACTGGTTATAATGAAAATTGTATTGGTTTTAATGGAAACTGTAATGGTGCCCATTGGTCTCTGGCTTTTGTTAGAGCCACTAAATCCTTATGTAATACGTCCCAAAACACACGACAGGAAACCATTATTTAATGGTTGAAATGGTTAAAAGTTGATGGTTTGTAATGTTTGTAATGGTATTTGTAGTGGAAATCATTAATATTTCTCTGATGGTTTCTACTGTTTTCATCTGCAGGGTCACCATGAGTTTTCTAATGTTATTTGCCATAAATGCGACAGGATTGCGGTTATATTGTGAGATAGTAGTAGTTGTGGTGGGCCTATTTAGGAGAAAATCCAGGACCATTTTTTACTCCCAGTCTGTAAGCGAACCGAAAGCGAACCGAAAGCGAAACTACTTTGTTTGTTCTTCCAAAAGAGGACACGACTAGAAATCAGTGGTTAAGTTGTATTTACAACACTGTTCCAGAACAGTTCAACCCAAATATTCAGATGTGTGCAGCGCATTTTATGGAGGACTGTTTCTTCTGATCCTGGGAGAGTAGACTACAATGCCGGCTGTTCTGACTCACAGTCTGTAAGTACGTCTTTTATATTTAAAGCGTTTTTATATTTTATATATTTAAAGCAAGTTTTTTTGAGCAGTGTAGAGTAGCGCTTGTTGTTTGTCATTTCTCCGATCACAAATGCAGACAGGGTTTTATGTTTACGCGGCGCGATGCAACACAACGCATAAAAAGACAGTATAAGTCAGCAGTATGGTGAGGGGCGTAACATTTCCGTCTCACGCTTGAGGTATTCGGCCAATCACAACGCACTGGATAGCTGGCCAATCAGAGCACACCTCGCTTTTCAGAACGATGAGCTTTGTAACAATCTAGCGTTTCAGAAAGGCGGGGCATAGAGGAGAAACAATAATGTACAGTATGTGGAAAATAATGTGTTTTTTTAACCTTAACCCGCATAAACACATTTCATTACACCAAATACACAAAATACTGTTCTTTTTAGCAGCATCATATGACCCCTTTAACATTCAAATACATTGCAAATATGGAAACATTTGGATCCTGGATCCAGCAAATTAAGAACTGGTCATAATACTCACATGTTTGATGTGAGCAACAGTGTGTTTTGCTGCAGCAGCAGTTCACTGACTGCGCAGCACAGCCACACGCGCCACAGTTATGTTTGGGATCATTTTATTTTTAATGCCATAATGTCAGTTGAAAACATTGCAATAGTGTTTTAAAATATAACAACAAGCACCATGAAACCATTTAAAGAAACGCGTTCAGCTGTCTCCGTGACAGGATAGGAAACAGTCAACAAAGTCAAATGAATGCAATAGACGCATTTTGCAGCATTAAGGTTAACGATTAATCGATTAATTGATCGTTAATTTAAACGACGATCCATCATGGTAATGATCACAAATGGACATCCCTAGTAGGCTAAACATCCCTGGCAATAAAGCTCTTTCTGATTCTGATTCTAATATATTACACAGCCTATCCAACAATATCATGAAACAAGATTGTGATCTACTTACATATTTTGTTTTCAGTTTCCTTATCCAGCTGTCTTGCAAACAACTGCACAGGTCAAATATATATGTGAAGACACTAATTTT